AGGAGGGCTTCCTTGCACAGGACTCTGTGGTTCCTCTCATTCACTGCCATGTCCAACTTTTGCCACCTGGTGAACAGTCATAAGCCTACCTGGGGCTGTGACAGACAATCAGGGATCATGGCACAGAAACAATATTCTGAAATGTTCAGGGCTGAACCAAATACATGAAATGTTGCCTGATGAGGGCAGGTGCAGGTCTCTGTGGCAAAAAGCAGGCAGTAGGGTTGAAAGTGAGATTGCTAACTACAAGGCTGGACTGCCCTTCAAGTTTGCCACCAAGAATGGCAATCAGACTGGCTGCACCTTATAACTGTCTGGAAGCTCAAAACCAGACCAAGAGAATGTGCCCTGTTCCAGGCACTTATTTAATGTCTCAGTAAGAGTTTCCATACACATGGCCAAAGAGATGATGTCTGCTGACTCCAGGCCCCACTTCACACCACTAGAATCAGCATCTGTGTGGGGAATAAATCTGGTTTTTCTTCACAGGTAATCCCAATGTGCACTCAGGGATGGAAACCACAGCTCCAGGAACTTGTCCTTCGTCATCCTGAAGGTCCAAGTCCAGTTACCACTAAGCCAGGGTCATACCAGTTTTGTGTGTGTGCACATGTATGTGACATGCTTGTGGGTGTGAATGTACACATATGCATGTGGAGCTAGAGTTCAACATGAGGCATCTTCCTCTATGGCTGTCTGCCTTTCTTTTTTTAGTTAGCGTCTTTCAGTGAACTTGGAGCTTATGCATTCAGCTAGACTGGCTGGCCAGTAAGCCCTAGGGAACCTCCTGTCTGCACCTCCCCACCTCCCCAGTGCTGGAATTACAGGCAGGTATAGTCACACCCACCTTTTATGTGAGTGCTGGGGATTGAATTTAGGTCCTCATGCTTGTGCTGCAAGATTTTATTGACTGAGCTATTTTCCCAGCCCATATCAAGATTTTAAGTGGAGGGAGAGAACACTGTTAGGATCCACCCAGGTTGACAAAGGCGCTCCAGAACAAGGAAAGAATATAACTTGGTTCTTCTCCTGAATGGGTGATGGCCAGTCCACTCACATGTGGAAGTGAAACACAGCCTAAGCTATCTGCCCCAGCTATCTGCCAATGGTCCCAGATCAAGGTTTTAGCTAGATTCTAAAGGTTCAATATGCACTTGGAAAACAATTCTGCTCAATTTATGCCAACACCATGTGATCTCTGTTGTCTTCAACCCAACTAAAATAGCTATCTAGATATTCAGTGCAGAAGCCCCACAACCTTTATATGAGGATTTTCTTTCTGTGGCTTCAGTTACCCAAGGTACAAAACCATTTGAAAACTCCAGAAGCAAATGTACTAAATCTTAAAGAGCACAGAGTTCTAAATGGCATGGAGGACGCCCACGCAGCTCCTCCCAGGCTGAGTCATCCTTTGTCCAGTGTCCTACCGCTGCACTCTACCCACCAGCTTGTCATTAACTAGCAGCGCAAAGGGTGTTGAGAAATGGAGACTTTGTGAAATCCACCCTTCCTCTCCCTAAACACAGCTCTGAGGACCACTTCAAAGCCCCTGCTCTCTTGGATACAACACCTATCTTGGTTATCAGACTGACTGTCGGTAGCCCAGGAACTGTGTTCAAGTAGCTCTTGTTTTACTTAATGATGGCCCTGAGACTCAAGCGTTCTGACACTGGTGATTCAGATATGCAGAAGAGACTCAGAAACATGCTTCAGGAGAAAAACATGAAAGTTCTTGACTTAATAAAGAGAGCGGAGAAAGAGCACTTTCCCCCTGTGCTGACACTAAGATCTGTGGTGAGGATGAATCCTCTGTGAGACAGTGAGGAAGACATTCGTGGTGCCGGGTTCATGGTGCGGCTCACCTCACACGGCAGAAATCACAGTCGCAGTGTGGGCCAAGAGCAGGTAAGCTGGAAACCACACTGCGTTGTAGAGTGGGTACTATCCATGGTTTCAGGAATCCACTGCAGCCTTGACATGTGTCCCCCTGAGGATGAGGGCAGCTGTACAGGTCTACTGACCTTCTAACCTGGTGTGGGTACCAGAAACACGAGATTTGTCTGTAATCTTCATGAACCTTGTAATGGGGGTGGGGTAGGGGAAGCAGACATTCCACAAAGAAACAGAGAGATGTTATAGGTCAGTAACTTAAAAAAAAAAATCTGTTTTTCTTTCTCTCTGAATTGCCTCAGACTCCACAAATTTAGTTCAAAGGTCCAGCTTTCTCACACTGACCCTTGCTCTCGATTTTGTAGGGCCTCATTTTGCTCTGAAGTGAGACACATGGATTAAAACACACTTTGTCCACCAGCCACCAGCTGTGTGACTTGGTGTGTTTTTTACCTTCTCTGTGCTGCAGCCTCCTCACTTCAAAGTTAGGATACTAAGCTGTTATGAGGAATTAAGGGACCCCAGAAAGCCCAGAAAGCACCCAGTACTTTCCTACACTTAAATGTGCATTTATTCCAAATTAGGAATAAATGAAAATTTGAAACTTTTATCTGCTGTTATTGGAATGTTATTTTGGAAATGGCTTTTTTTTTTTTTTCGTCTTTTTGAGACAGGGTCTCCCTGTGGCCCCAGCTGGCCTGGAACTCATTATGTAGACCAGGCTGGCCTTGAACTCCCAGGGATCCGTCTGCCTCTGCTTCCTAAATGCTGGGATTAAAGGCATGCACTACCTTGCCCAGCTTGGAAATACTTTTTAAAATTAGTTATCTTATAAACACTCACTTTAGAGACAGGGCCTCCTTAGGTAGCTCTGGCTAGAACTCTAAGACCAGGCTGGCCTCAAACTCACAGAGATCCCCCTGCCTCTGCCTCCCGAATGCTGGGATTAAAGGCATGTGCCACCACCCCGGCATAAACTCACTTTTTTGAATTTAGAAACTCATTTTTCTAAGCATAGTCAGTCACCTGTACACAATAACTCCTTTGTTCCGTTTTTCTTTTCTTTTTTTTAAAAGGGAGGAATCATGTATTTCAACTTTGAGTCAGAGGTGTTAAGACCATCAAGACAGAGGGCATCATGGACTCCGCCAGCCACATCATGGTGGCCAGCTTGCAGAGAAAGGCTTGTTGCTTTCTGATCTCATTCCCTCTGCTCTTTTCCTACCACACCAGGCTAGCTCTAAGGAAGTCTAACTTCAGTGATGAATGGCAGTGTGGCCTCCTTTTCCTGTTCCTAAGCTGAGGAGACAATGGGGTGTGTCACTGTTATCCTACTTGCTACAAGCATCTTTCTGTTTTGTAATTTTTTTTGCCAAGTCATTTCCTTTCTAATTCTAATTGGAATATGACTGGGTATAGATTCTGTTGAAATGGTCTATCTGCAGCTACTATTAGTGTGATTTCTCCCTTCAGTCTATGATGGTGGTGAGTTACCACTGGTGACTTTCAAATGTTATGACCGTTCTTGAACCTTAAAGACATTCCCAACGTGGTCAGGATGTTCTGTTCTCCCTATGCCTGGATGGGTTGTTTTGGACTATTGTGTTGGGGATTTCTGCTTCCACATACATCTTCTGAGGCTGGCGGCAATTTCCTTCTCATCAAATTTTGGTTTCAAGGTCAAGAGAGTCTCTTGAGTCAAGGAGCCCAGCATTCCTGTTCTCTGGTTAGACTGTGTATTACTGAAATAATTTCATAATTTCTTTTTAAGTGGGAGGTGGAAATTTTCCACAAGGCCTTGGGGACTGTGGTTTCTTTTGTGGGAAGGTGTTTTACAATTGGTACCTTTTTGGTAGCATAAGGCTATTCAGGTTTTCTTTAAACTTTTAAAAATTTTATGTGCATGAGTGTTTTGCCTGCATGTATGTAAGTGTACCCATGTCATGCAATGCCCACAGAGGCCAGAAGGTGTCAAATGCCCTGGAATTGGAGTTTTGAACAGCTGTTAGCTACCATGTGGGTGCTGGGAACCAAACCTGGGTCCTCTGCCAGAGCAGCCAGTGCTCTTAACCACAGAACCATCCAGCCCCACCCCATCCTCTCTTTTTGAGTATTACTGTGGTGTTTTATACTTCAACTTTCAAGCTTGGTGAATATTCCTTGTGTCACCTTGTCTCTGATGGCTGTGGTTTCTGAGATAACAACTCCTTTTCATCCCTGAGGCTAGTTTCTTGTGCTTTCTGCTCTCGTGGATGCACCTCACCAGAGGTGAGTCCATTAGCTTTGCTAGATCAGCGTTTAGCTCTTCATACACACTGTCTCACCAACCTCTTCACACGTCCTCTCCTGCAGACTTCTCTTGTTCTCCTTGTGCCTTCGTGGGAATTCTCAGCCTGCCCCTTCTTACAGTTCAAAATATTTCCAATTTCCAGTATAATTTCTTCATTGACACATAGATTATTTTGGCAGTATTACTTTTTGAATGTATATATGATTTGTTATTTAACTATAGTTTAGAAGGTAAAGTATGGTCAAAGAATGCACTCCGTGTTGCAGATGAAGGTGCATCCAATGCCCCTAGAGGTGGAGTTACAGGCAGTTACTAAGCTGCCTGATGTGGGTGCTGGGAATTAAAACTTGGGTCCTCTGCAATAGGATGCGCTCTTAATAACTGAGCCATCTCTCCAGCTCTATCAATACTTTGAAAGTTGTTTAAACTTGCTCAAGGGCTTAGTCAACTAGGACAAGTTTTGCAAATGCTGTTTGTGTGCTTGGAAACAGCCCCTGAGGTGCAGTGTCTAACACTCATCAACCATGCCAAATTTATTAGCTTGTTCAAATTTTGCTTCCTTCTTGGTTTGTCCTATCAATTTCTGGGAAAATGCCAAATCTTCCTAACATGAGTGTGAATTCGGATGTTTCCCTTCTGGTTCTCTGAAAGGATAAAACTGGGAGAAGTGGAATGAGTAAGACAAATTTGAACCCACCATACAGTCAATATACAGTAAGACAGGAAAGGAGGAAAACATTGGAGCAACCCAGCCAACCAACCCCAAACCCCTGAACTGGTGGGACAAAGCACAAAATAAGATGGCATGTTCAAAAGTAAATGTGTCAGCAATCATACCATTTAAGTGCGTTAAGGGCTCCGAGAACAGAATTTGTCAAAATGGATTATAAGATAAAATCCAATCATGGGTTATTTATAAGAGCCACATTTAAATTACAGAGACCAGAAAGTCAAAAGTCAAGTCTGGTCACCACATGCTACACTCCTTCAAGGTGGAAGTGAATTGCAGGATGTTGCAGGCAGTGAATGGTGGTCCCTGTGGCTCCCTCCACCGCCCGCCCATCTTCCTTCTATCAGTCTGCTCAGTGAGCAGGACCCTCCGGCTTTTCAACCCCATGGGGATTTGGGCAGATAGAGGACAGGTGAACATGGACCCCTAATGTAAGCTCCACAGAGATGGAGAGAAGGTCCCCACCTAAGAGTAGTCAAAGGCAATGTACCAGGACAATGGGGAGGCAGACCTTCTCTGGCCACCGCCTCAAGGTTCCTAGATCTCCATCTAGTTTAGACGGGTCCTCCCACAAGAGTGGCCACATTTCCTTCTGGAACAAGCCTGTGCAAGCACTGGAAGTGCCTATATACTAGCAAGCTCCTCAGTTAACAGCTATGGCAGCAGCAGGACCTGAAGACCAGTGTCCTACAGTGTACATGGAACTGCATGTCAGGGAACATCTCACGGTTCACCGTTACTGATTCCAGTCTAAACTTTCTTTGAACCTGTTATACCATCCGACTGGCCAGGTCACAGAGGGCAGCACTGACTGGGTCCAGCTCTGCCAACTGAGTCATGTGATGCTGTTGGCTTACTTGTACCGGCCACTCAGGCATGTGCTGGTTGTCTGCAAAGCAGTCATAGCAGCTTAATGTGCCACAGAGCTGCATGACAGGTCCCTTTCCACTGATGGACACAGTCTCTTGCTTAGAAGGGAGAGGACCTGCTATCCAGGCAGGACAAAAAAAAGTCCATGAGGCCTGTTCCTTCACTCTGAACCCATGTCTCACCCTTTCTATTGGCACTGAATGTGCCCAGCATCACTCTAATCGGAAAAGCAGCCAGACCCTGCTCCTCAGTAAGTGGAGAGCTGCAGTCATTTATTTTCTACTCCACAACCAGGCTGTGAGCTAGACCACTTGTTTCAATTAGTCTTCTGTACACACAGCCTTATGGACATTAATTTCTAGGTAGATTTCTTACACTCTTTAACACTTATGGCCATCTCTGTCCTAGGCCATTCACCAAGCCCCTGGCACAGCCACCTGCTCTCACTCACTGAGGGGCATCAGGTTCCAAACACATGCAGTGACCATGACTTTAGGGTGGCACAGGGCAAAGCAGCCATAAGGAACTGCTCATGGTTGTCAGAGACAGAGCCATGCTGGCCTGAGCTTTAGCAGGCAGCCCGCAGCACACAGCAGCCTACTGTGCCAGGCTGCAGCAGGCCCAGGCTTCCTAGCTACCATGGGTATAGGCATCATTCCTGAAAACTCCTCAGGTTCAATCCAGAATTCGGGTGGAACTCTGAAGGACATGAGGTGAGTAAATGTAGGCAGACCAGCTGTGGTAGGTACAGTGACCTGCCATCAGTTATTAGGGCTGAGGGCAAGTACAGCCCAGTGACCAGGGGAGCAGTGGACTGGGTAACATCTATTTGTGTCAGGCCAAACCCCAGACTGGCAGACCTTACATGCATTATGAGCTACAAAACCCAACAGGCATGTCCAACTTGCATCCAAAGGGCTGGGGCTGCATGTACTGGATACCCTTGAATATGGCCTGACACAAAGATCATAAACTTACTTAAAACACTGCAAGATTTAAAAAAAATTTTTTTTTTGGTATGTCAATTGTATGGTTCTTGAATGTGAACTTTGTAGATGACAACAGTGTCACAGTGTCAAAAGGCTGGCCATGTTTGCTCCCTAACACTTCGGGATGTGATGCTTCTTAGACAGTCTTAATCAAGACCAAGCTCAGATGAGGGTACCCACCCAAAACAGCTTGACATGAAGGGGGCACTAGGAGCCACCATGTGAATGTGAGGACAGCCCTTGACAGAGCCAGATCCCTCTCACAGAGGCTGCAGAACCAACCTGACAATACCTGGACTTTGGACCCCTGGTTCAAGCTGTACAGACTGGTTAAGTCTGTGATATTTTGTAACAGCTCTTAGAGACTGACACAACACTCCCAAGGAGTCCTGTGGCATTCTGTGCCCAACCTAGCAGCATATTGCTCAATTCTCTTGAGTTACGTATGTGGGAAGGTGCAGGAGTTGCCTTGTTCCGAATGTACTGATGACAATCCAGTCAGCTCTGCCTCCGTGTGTTCCTCTGTGAGTACCTTTCCATAGGAGTAAGGGCCTTTCTGTAGCAACCAGTGTTTTAGATCCATGTGGATAAATTCAGCCTAGAACACAGACCAGACACTTCTGACAGGAGACCTGTGAAGTATTCACCCTAGACAAAGGCTAGCCTTTCAGTGTTCTTGAGATGGGGGGGGGGTCAGGAAGAGGCACCTTCCAGGCCCTCTGCAGCTGGCTCTGTGCATATGGCATCCACCTGGAACCTAGATGGGTCTGGTAAAGAACAGCTGACTAAACCTGAGCCAAGAAAGCCAAGGTGTGGCTGAGGAATACTTCCAGTGCTTCTGCCCAGACACCATGGGACCTGGCCAGGACAGAGGGCCAGACTTGCAGCTGCAGTGGCTGGGCTAGCTGAGCCAGTGGGGAGGAAGATGGACAGCCTAGGATGGACACCAGGGCATCCTGGCCACGTGCATCCTCAGCAAGGCTGCGCAGATGAGGACCACAGTTAATGCGCCCCCCACCTTGGGTCCCTGTGGTCACCACCCCAGAGGTCCTCCCTGAGGGCTCCCCCTAGTAGGCTGCCTGGCTCCTTGGGCTGGTTTGGGATGCTGATCATTGCCACTCCAGCAGCCTGAGGCTCTGTGTCTGCACTGGTTGCAGGTGAGGTCACAAGAGGGGCCAAGGCAGCAGGCACTGAAGGGGACAGGCGGCCCTGGTGGCATCCAGTGTGTCCCAGAAGGGGGTGTGCAGTTAGTACAGTATGGCAGCTGGGTGCCAAGGAGGTCTGCTGGGATGAACTGCAGGTGGGCCTGGAAGGTTCTACCAGGGAAGCATCCGGAGGCAGCTGAGAAATCAGATTGCTCTTCCCTCTGGAGAGTCCCAGGCGGTCTCCAGTCCTGCAGCCTTCTGGCTGTGCCCGCAGGATCTTTGGTTTGGGCCTAGTAGGGCCTTTCTGCCTCCAATAGGGCAGGTGTCTATGATCTGGTCTGTTGGCCCAGCGAGGTCCCCGGATGAAGGTCCATTGCCAAGAAGCCTGGCCCTTTGGTCCCAGGCTCCGAGGGCGCCTCCCCAGCCGATCCACCTGGGTCCTCATGGTGGCCACTTCTTTAGTCAGGCCTGCCAAGGCTGCCGCCAGCTGGTCCAGCTTCTCTGTGAGGGCAGTGCCAAGGCTGTGCAGCTCTTGCTGCAGGGACCTGCCACAGGTACATGGTGGCTGGAGAGAGGTAGATGGCAACTTGCACAAGATGGTTGGGGGTGGGGTAGACTTGCTGGGTGGCTCCAGAGGGTCCCCAGAGAGCAGCTTCCCTTGGGTCATGGCTAAAACCAGAGGAAGGATGGGATCAAAGTGCTTAGGTTGTACCAACCCTGTCTCTGGCCCCAGAAGCCTCTTTAACTAGTGTATTCAACATCCTGCCCCCATAAGGCCTGGCTTGCAGAGGAATTTAAACATGTTACTTTTTGAAAATCATCGATTTCTACAGCCCTACTTTCTTGAAGCTGGTCTTACCCGCCCCCAGGCATACTATATAGGAGGCTGCTGCTCAGGCCCCAGCCATTCTTCAGGGGCTCATCAGCTCAGGCTGAAGAGGGAGCTGCTGTTTCCTGAGCCCTAGTCAAGGCTCTGTCCTTGCCTTTCCAACCTCTAGGGGTGGTAGACAGGGGACGGGCTGAGTGGCCCAAGGACCCACATCCTGTCTCACTAAGTTCTTGAATTAAAGCAAAGATTTGACCTAGGCTGAGGCAGGAAGATCACAAATTCCAGGTCAGCCTGGGTTCCTCAGTGAGATCTTATCTCAAACAACAGTAACAACAAAACCCCCCACAAAATAAAAGCAAAGATGTGGCCTGGTGCATCATCTGAGGAAAGAAAAGCCTGTTCGAGTACATAAAAAGCTGGAAGAGCAGCAAAGTGTGCACCTGGGTAGCTTAAAGGCGAGACTTGCCTACCCATGACCCACAAGATGAACTTGGAGGGTGTTCAACTCCCCAGGCTGGGACCTGGGTCCCGATTCCCCCATAGGGAGCTGGAGCACAGCCAGTGCTGGAGACACCACTAGCTCACCTGCAGCACTGGGCTGTCCATGCCCAGGTGCCTCATCCCTGTGGTCTTCGGTACCCTTGGGCCTGGGCCCAGGGCTTTCTTCTGGCTCAGAGACAGGCCATATGTGCCTAGCTGCCTCTGCAGAAAGAGCACAGAGCCCTTAGGACAAGGACACACACTGTTTTGCCAGAACCCCTCCGACATAGGGATGTTCTGACATGCACCACCCCCAATCTTCAATTTTTAAGTAAGGATTAATTCAGGTGCAAGATGTCAGGGAGCCTAAATCTGGCAGGCTGGCCTGCTGCGGCATGTGAGGGCCCACTCTGCCACTTCCCACTGAAGCCCCAGGATGGCGAGGAACGTGGGTCAACCTGGGTTCTACATAGGTGAGGCCAAGGCCTGCAAAGTGGACCAGTCTTTCAAACCATTTCCCTGGCCCCTACCTCCTCTTTCTTCTCCTCCTTCTGTTCCTCTGGCACTGCCAGAGCTGGGCTGCTGGGTATGCTTTGCACCCTCTTCTCTCCTGGGTGACTGAGACTTGCCTCCCATCCCTTGTCCTCTTCCTGTTAGGAGCAAACTCTGGGTCACGGCTCAGGTGAAAGTGGCTTGTAGCAGCAGGTAACATTTCCAGACTTCTAGGCAAACTCCAAGAAGTTCTGTCAGGTCTTTAATTGTATGATGTTGGGAATCAAGCCCAGGGCCTTATGCATGCTACACAAGTACTTTACCAATGAAAAAAAGCACTTTTGATATTTCTTTTGTTGACTGCCAAGTTTTAAAAACGTTAGAGGACACATCATCATGTGTACATACAGGACGTTTTGGTGAGAGCGAGCAGAGTGACAGTGGAATTCGAGAACACGATCAGGTCCCTTGGCGCTCTGGGGAATGTGTGGCCACCATCCAGGGAAGACGCCAGACTCACCTGCACTGAGGTTGCCGCAGTCTTTGGATTCTAGTCTCTCAGAGTCTTCAGCAAGACTGCTGTGGCTACTGCCGTCTCTTGGAAACGCTCCAGAGACAAAGGACAGAGGGACAGGACCCTTACAGGAGGGAAGGTGGTCTTTCTCTGTGTCATAAGCAAGCTGGCATCAGAGTACTGATAAGCACTTCAGGAGCAGCTCACTGCCACCCCCCACCCCCACCCCAGCAGGCTCACTCTGGAGGGGTGGCTGCCAGAGTGCGGGCTCTGGCCTCAGGTCTTCTCCATCAGAGCTGCTAAAGCTGGAGTTGGAGCAGGGGCTGGGGCTAGGGCTGGGGCCAAGGCCTGTCACACAGGTGAAGCGCAAGGGCCTCACGGGCAAGATCCCCCTCAGAGAGCTCTCCAGGCGGTGAAGCGGGGAAGGCATGGTGGCTGTCCCTATACAAAGGAGAAAAGAGTCCACTGCCCATCATCTGATACCACCAGGAGGACTTAGCCTTGATGGCCAGCCACTCAGGATGGGTTTTTTTGGTTTTTTTTTCTGCTCAGCCACAGCCCACCTGTGCTCCAGGGTACCTGGACAACTCATTTTCTGATTGTGGACAGTTGAGAAAAACAGAGCCAGAGGTTGGCCACGTCCCTAGCTAAGTGAGCTTGGGAACTTTCTGGAAGTATCCACTCCCTAGATGCCACTTGTCGTCAGGTTCCATCCAGGTCCAGAATCAAGCCAGTTGCCTTTCCAATTGGATAAGCCACCAACCTTCTACCTAGCAGACCCTCTACCCAGCAACCATGCAAGGACCAGCAGTTTGGTGAGGACCAGTTAGCACCTGATGGGAGTATTAGATAAACCCCACTGATGAGCTAAGTCATCCTTCCACTAGAAATGTCCTGCTGGAGCTATGATATAGTCAGTGTACACAGGTGCCCATCACTCCCAGCAGAATATACTGCAGAAACCCTGGGGAAGAAGTGAACACTGCCTCTTTTCAGTCCAATTCCATCTTCCAAGGAAGGGAAGGAAAGAGGAGGGAAGAGAAGAGACAGGCTATTCCCTTGGCAAAAACTAACTGGAGGGAAAGCATGCCTGTGAACGTGGAGGGCTGCTCACCGTCCGGCAGCCATCTCCATGCTCCTGGCTTGGTGGTCCCCGGGTGGCTGGTGGGGATGCAGGTTGAGGTGAAGATCTGAGGACTGCCTAGACGGAGATTCCTGCTGGGTACATTTCCCCCACCCTGTCCAAGATGGGCTGGCTCACAGGCCTCATTCTTCTGCCCTGTTTTAATGAGAAAAGTCCCATCAGCCCTGTGGGGCCTCATGCTACCACAGAATTTCTGCCACTGCCAGGTTTTTAGCACACAAGTGTGAGAATGACCTGCCTAGAGGTTTCCCCTAGCACCAGTCCACACCTTCCAGGAACTCTTTACTCGCAACCCAAGCTACATAGAATTTGAGAGGCTGCATAGCTCAGTGCCCAGACACCAAGGTACAGGGGCTGACAGCCATGACAGAGGCACTGGGTCAGCAAAGCTCTGGCTTAGCTCTGCATTTGGAGCAGCAGCCAGTGGTGGTGGGGCATCTGGATCCTGGACTCTGGCCATCATTCATTCACCAATGAGCCTGCCTGCCTGTATGGAGAAGTGACCATCTGACTTTCTGACCTCAAGCCTCTTGGTCTAGGCCAGTTTCCAGAGCATCTCGGCTGAGCTGTGATCTGGCCTGAGGCTTGCTAGGAGCAGCAGTGGACAAGGTGACAGTGTGGGGAGGGTTATTCTCCCAGGCACTCGAAGATACTACTAGGTTACCTTCTCTGTCTGCTGCAGCCCAGTTCCTGGGCTCCGCTCTCTTCAGCCCCCTGTCCACAGCTGAGGAACAGGACCAGGAAGCCTGAGGCCTGGGCAAAGGGATCTCTCTGAGACAGTTCTCTAGGCCCTGGAGTGGGGAGCTTCCTGGTGGATATCCTGTGAAGATCAGACATGGACAGTCTTGGATGGCTGTGGCCGGTGCTGTGAGCCCCTAGAGCCTGCCTCTTCTGTCCTGTCTAGGGCAGTGGGAGGAGACACAGATTACAGGACATGATCTGGTAGCTCAGGCTGTCCTAGAAGAAGCCTACACAGTTGTCTACCTGGGAGGCTAGAATGAGGGAGTCTAGTCACGGGTTTCAGGCTCCCTCAGAACACTGGTCATCATGGTGAGGGTGCCTGCTTGGCACACAGGATGACCCATAAAAACATGTGCTTACAGATGATTTCACTCCTCCAAGGAGGGCAATCCTGCAGGCCTTCCTGCCTTGTAGCATGCACCAGGCCACAGGAGGCTAACTCTCATGGGTTCAACTAGGAAAAAGCCAGACACACTGGAAAAACGATACTCCTAATGACAGGGTCTTGTGCAAGCAACAGTAGGCAGTCAAGCTGAAATTCTAGAGGGATAAGGTAAGCAGACAACAGGGGCCACACTCCTTCAGGAGGCATCTGTCAACAACTCTGGGCCCAGGCAGAGGTTATAAGCAAGAAACAATCAGGTAGGGCTGGTGCAGCCCTACAGGAATGTGAGCCACTGTAGGGAAAGGTGCTTGCAACCAATCCCAAGGACCCAAGTTCAATCCCTGGGACCCACACAGAAGGAAGTTTAGAGCCAACTTCTACAAGTTGTCCTCTGACCACACAAGGGCCATGGCACATGAACACCCTATACAGACACCACACAAACACACACACACACAAATAATAGATGTAATTTTTTAAATCCTCAAAGCTGAAGGGCATTTCAGCTGTATATAAAGGGGAAAACCCCAGGCCCAAGAAGCTGTCCCTCAGTAGTACTCAGGAGGAGAAGACTAGGTGCTTCTGTAGTGAAATCAGTCTCCTGAATGCCAGCCAGAGTAACTCCATCTTGCAGCAAGTTGCCACTTAGCTGTTCATGTGCCAGACTGCAGAGAAACAAGCCATCTCCCCATGATTAGGAAGTGCTTGCCAAGACCAGTAGAATCTGATAACCAGGACAGGGAACACATAAACACAGATCTGTGAGTCTGGTATTGTCTATGCCTTCTGTTGTTTGAGCCTGCAGTCAGCTCCGCTGCGTTAACACTAGGCAGCACTCTGAGCCAAGGTTTATATTGATTCTGTTGTAGACAGAGCCATAGGCGTTTGGTAGGTATGGCCATGGTGACTTTGGGAAAATGTAGCTGTCCACAATACCTGAAGTATCCCCTAATAAACTTGTTCAACTCATCGAGATGAACCAGAATGAGTCATTCTCTGGGGTGTTGGTGCCACCCCAGTTTGGGGCAGATGTTAATTTTGTATTTCCAGGTCTTTCTTCCAATAGACGCAGTCAGGACACAGACAGGGGCAGATGCACTGGGTCTCCACCCATGGGACAAGACAGACCAGATTATCCAGGGGGGAAAGGTCAAAAGGGGATGCCTAGAGAGCCCTACAAGATCCACAGTCCTTGGAGTGACTTACTCTGGCAGGACTAGGCTATGAAGTACAATTCTGAAGGTGATCTTATACAACTCTAACTCCATTCCCCCTAAGTTGACGCTCAGCTAGTATCGCAGACACGTCTTTGCATCTGGGATCAAGAAGCGTTTAATGCAAAGGGAGATTTTAAAGAACACACTACCAGTCATTATCCATCTCTTCGGAGCCAAGTCACTAGACTTCTTCCCATCCTGCCACCTCCTGTGTCTGCTCCTGCCTTGGTATTCCCAGCTCTTCTGACTGGGGCAGACATGATGCAGGCAAGGCCCTTGCATTCTTTCACAAAAAGGACTCCAGCCTTAGGCTGGTCCAGCTCACCTTTTCCAGGCCGCTGCCCCTGGCTCCCCCTGGGGCTCCGGAAATCCAGATCCCCGTCACTGCTGCTGGCTGAGGAGAAGCTGGTGGGCGTACCTTGGGAGCCAAGGGGTCGAATGGGACCCTCTCTCATGCAGCCCTGCAGGCCCAGAGGCAGAAGGGGCTCCCTGGTAGCTTCTGCAGGGAGTAGCACAATTGGGTCAAGGCAGAGGCTGCTGGAGAAGAGGACTTAAGAGTGCTTGGCACCAGGAGACCCAGCCCCAGGGAACCCTTCCCTCTCTGGGGTTTCCTACGGCACTGATGAGAAGTCCAAGCCCCCACAAATAGTCTTGTGAATAAGAAGTCTTCAGAGCGGGAAAGGGGGTGGGAAGACTTTACTCTGAGCCAACCTAGGGAGCTGTTTGGGGGAAGGCACAGAGCAGGTAGGGAAGAAAGGCACAAACTCCAGGAGGCTCAGAGAGGATGAGCAGATGGTGCCCATGGCATCTTCTTCCACTGTGTGTACAGAGATAAGGTCGGCCCAGGCCCATGTACCTTCACTGTGAGATCCTTGGGGCTGTAGCTCAAACCTCTGACAACCAGCATCTCCTGGCTGGGGGCTACGGGACGACGAGGTAGCTAGCGGCTGGACAGGTGATGGTCCACCTGATGGAATGCCCTTCAGACAGGCTTCCAGAGCTTCCAGGGGTGAGCTTGAGGTCCTGCTGGCTGAGACAGGAGAGGCCACCCAATCATCCTTCTCTTGCTGAGCTCTGGCCTGCTTGTCAGGCCCCAGCTTGGCCCCTGGCTGGCTGGCCCACAGCCCACTTCTACAGGGTGATAAGTCCTGCAGCAGGTTCCAGGGACCTGCAAACAGGAGATCCTCCCATGAAGGACTTGGGATCTGCTCTCTGCTTCTTCAGGAGAAAGAAAGCTATCCCCAACTTGAAGGAAAAGAGTAGGCGAGCCACCTGCACTGCACACAGAGGCCAAGTTCCATAGAGGATTTCACTGTAAAAGGAAGGTCCTGAAACCTGAGAATGGGCCTGCATTGAGGACGTGGGCCCAGGGCACAACTTCTGAAGAAAGGCAGGGGACCAATTCCCACTGGGATATGGAGGTCAACAACCAACCCAGAACTTACCTGGAGCTATGGGGCCCCAGCGGGGCACACGGACTTCTCTGGTGTCTCCACTGGAGTAGGGGCTGTGGCCTTGCCTGCTAAGCTGGCAGGATGCTGAAACTGGGGGAGTCTGGGCCCAGCCATCCTCTACCTTCACCGTGGCAAGCGTACTGCAGGCTCCATAACTAGTATGGGGAAGAGGAGTCTGGGGGCGCTTTGTCCCTGCAGGGTAGATGGATGCTGGGAAGTTGGCTTGCACACACTACACATCCTGAGAAGCCTTTATAGGGTTAGGAAGGATTAGGAAGGACTCCTCTGTCTCCACAGCAGTCACTGGCTCTGGGTATGACAACTTCTCAATCTCATGCACAGACCCAGGTCACACTCCTGCCATCCACTGCCTCTGGGGAGTGCCAGAGTGTTCTAAGAGGTGTTAAGTGAACCCTCTGTGGCCAGCAACAAATCAATTCTTGGTCCTCATGCAGCAGATGTGGCTCAAGCCCACCCTCTCAAGGCTGTTCTGAGGAGTTCGTGTATAATGGGGAGCTGTCCAATGAGCCCAGGCCAAACATGACACAGGAACTCCAAACTCAGTCACATCGCCTATCCAAACATGCATGCTAGGAATCCAGTCACAATGATGGTCTACTGAGCTATAACTCGTCTCTTCCATTTCTCCCTCCCTTCCAATAACCTTTCTGGAAAGTTCTAGGACTTTCAGCTCTCTTAACAAGAGTCAGTCCATAAAATTATGAAGCACTAATTCAGTTTCGCCTTTTGTACGCAGTAATGAGGCCCAACTTTGGGTTCTCTGACCAACATGCTGACAAGGGCACATAAATTTTGTTGTGAAGAGTCACCCATAGCTCTACTTGAAGCAAGGACACCAAAAGGGACGACATCTGGGGCCAGCGGAGCAAGGGGCCTTTACCTCCAGAACTCCTCTTCCACGCCCCTGAGTCCTCCTGCAGCTGCGGGTTCCCTGCTCCCGAGGGGCTGGGACGCCTGTCTGGGGCTTCTGGGATCTCCTTCAGACAGTTCAGCAGGCCCTGGAGGGGACAATCCCCCAGTGCTGCCTCGGTCTTCACTAAAGGAAAAGGTACAGGTGTCACTGAAGTCCTTATCATTAGCCCCCTGATGGACAGACAAAGACCATCCTGGGGTACAGTGAGAAGACCACAAGGCCGGAAACCAGGGCACGTGAACCTTCCAGTTACAGGCATCATCAGAACATGGCATCACATAGGTTGCGAACCAAAGGGAGTGGGCTGGCTCATCACTACACTAGGCAGTTCCCGTGACTGAGTACAACTTAACTTTGAAGTGGGTCAGGCCGTGACAGACACATGCAGTATTCATGCATGTGAGTGGAATTCTGTAATTAAGCTCACTCCAACCCCAAGGGTGAACAGCTATCCTCTTTACAGATGTAAGACGAAGGCTGAAAGCTTCAGCAGCTTTTTGAGGGTGACCCCAGGTGGTGTTCCTGCTTCACTGTACTGCCTAGACCTCAGTGTGCACTCTGACGCCTCATCCATGCCAACAGGAAGTGACGTTTGAGTACTGCGGTCCTTCTCTTGGAGTCCCGTATCAGGAGGAATAAATAATAGTGAGGAAACCAGGGTAAAGCCTGCGGTCCCTATCCTTGAAGGAGCTACTGGGCTTCAGGCACCCAACTCTAGGGACACGGGCACACCCAAGTCAGTAATGATCTCAAGTAATGATTCAGTGCAGAGCACAGAAACAGCCACAAATGGCAACCTGAGCTTTCCAGGGACTTTGAAGACCTTGGCCTGAGCAGGGACTCACCTGAGCAGGGCAGGCTCCCCAGCTCCACCTCAACTCTGGTCTGCCTCAACACACTCAAGCCAGGGAGAGGAGGAGGCAAGTTCTTTGGAGCTGCTTCAGGGTGCTGGGGCCCAGGTACAAGGATTTCCTTCAGACAGTTGATGAGGCCTTGCAAGGGGCTGTTCTCAGAAGAGGCTCCTGTGCACGTACAAGGCAGCCAAGGTCAGTGTAGTCCTGACAGGCAGGAGACCCTCAGCCATCCCTGCCGTCTCTGGGCAGCTGAGACTCACCCATGCAAACAGACATGGCCAGTCCTGTAGGGTTGTCATGAGGCTAGACCAGAGAGCACTATGACCTTCACCGACCCTGCTCAGCTCCAGGCTACCCCACCCTTAGGAAAGCTTTTCACCTGATCCCATGGTCCCCCTATCCTGTCTCTGGTGGTTCTTGATCTGGTCCAGGCTATGAGTTGGAGAGTTGGAATCCTGGCCTGGAGCACCTGAGCCTTCCTTCTCTGTAGGCTGTGGTTTGTCAGTAGTTACTACTGCAGGAAACAAAGAAGGCCATTTTAGTGGGGACTCTGGACTCTAGGATCACCCCAGTTCTGGTGCCCATGAGGACAGACTTTTCTAGCTTCCCAACTCTTTGAGGGGCAGCTAAATCCTGGAGGCTTGGTCTTGTGCTGGGGGCTGGATATGGAGGGCTTGCTTGCTCTAGCAGGTCTGGAGGCCTTTCCCTGTTTCCTTCTGGTTTAGCTGTAAATACTAAGACTTGTTGACCCTGAATGTTGCCAGACCCTTCCCCTGGCCCTACCTCTGAACCTGGCTCAGCCAATGAAGTCTGCAGCCTCAACACAGGTTAGTCTCCCACTCATGCTCCTAACGTGGGGCCGGTGAACAGATGGCCCCTGAAACCACAAGGCTACATGGGGTTCAGATTTGGGGAATGTCCATTTTAATCTGTACTCCTTTAAATATGTTTAATTAAAAACAAACAGACATTCAGGCAAGTGCAAACTTCTGAAAAATGTGAACAGACAATTGAGCCTTCCAGAGAACTCCAGTGGCTAGCCTTGTTCTGCTATTTGCTTGGCTGAGAGTGTCTGAGAACCAGACCAGCTGTATGCAGGTAAGTTACCTGCCAGGCCTATGCATTAGGAACTGTCCAAGCCTCCCTCTGTGTGTACACACAGTCCTCAATGATCAGGGTGGGTGAATGGCCACTGAGCATCACCTTCTGGCCTGTATACCAGAGGCCAAGTGTGCTTTCTCCCTACTCAGGGACCTTTGAGTCCATTTAGCTACAGAGGAAACGAAGTTCGAGAGAACATGAGAAGGGTGTAGAGTCCAAGGCCTGATTCCAGGACCAGGCCTTTTCAATGCTGGGTCTCCCTGGGGCAGACTCACTGGTAGGCAGAGGGCTCCCCTGTGGCCAGTCTCCAGGAAAACCACTGGAAGATGAGCTGCCCATGGGTGTGGTGGTCAGGCTGGGCTGGCTCGCAGGACTCTCTGGAAGACAACTGAGTAGGCCTTGGGGAGGGCGAGTATCCTCTGCCACAACTACTGAAGGATATGGAGAAGACACCACATGGTAAGTTGTCCCCAGCACCATAAAGCTCAGCTTCCCTCCAGGCCCCTAGTAGGGGCAAACGTGCTGCTCACCGCCATGTAAGGTGCAAGGCAACAGAAAATAACTGTCATGTGGCTAAACCCTGGGCACCAGTCATGAGTAGGCATGAGCTGCTCCACACTATACCCAAGAGCTCAGGGAATGGGCACATAGCAAGGAGGTTAAGAATCGAGCCACACACAGCGCTGCAGACTGTAGTGAGGCTGCTCTGGCAGCTTGTGTGACTTACCCCTAGGGCTGGCTCGCTCCCCATCCAGACTAGTGCCCCCACTCTCAGGGCAATCTTCAGTGCCTTTGACTTCTCCAAACAAGAACTCTGGGATCTCCTTCACCAGCTGCACTAAGGCGGTGAGGTGCAGGCTATGCTGGGGCTGTCCTGTGGATGGATGCACTGCACTTGTTGTCGGCTCACACCTAACCCCTCAGAGAACGCAAACGGCCCATGGAGGGCTGGGCTCAGGCAGGTGTGGAACAGAATGGTTCTTCCACATGGTTACTCAGTAGTTCATCCCGTCTCCTTTCCATCAAGGGCAATAATGAAGCGTACTGTATCTACCATCTGGCCCTCTGCCTTTCCTGAAATCACCTAAGCCCCTGGTCTCGCCCACTCTGGGCCCTGTGGGTCACCTCCAGCATCTGAACTGCAGGCAGGTTCAGAGTGGTCGCAGGAGGGGCCTGGGGCAGAGGGTGACACCTCAGGTTTTTTCTTTGCATGCCCCTAGCTCAGAGGGAGGCCGGATTGCGTCAGCTGAAGTCAAAGCGAGGGGTAACTGGGAGGAGGTACCCAAAGTCTGCTGGGAGAACTTACCTTGGCGACCATATCCTGAAGGGGGTTCTTGTCCCTCATCTTGACGACTTTCTCCTGCTGTGGCTCCTCCAGGCTCTGTGGGTGACAGGAAAGCAGAGAGGGGGAGCAGTTCAGCTGTTCCTGGGGAGAGAGGGGGCAGTTACTCTGAGTACCAGGGATCCTTTGCCTCCTTCAGCTCCCCTGCCCCTGGGCCCCAGTCAGAAAAGGGCCCAGATCCCTGCTCATCTATGTATGGCTTTCCATGCATGTTCCTGTAGTCATCCAACTCAGAAAACCAGACCCCCTCCCCGCCCCCCACCAAAGCCCTGTACTTAGACCACAATTCTGGTTCACAGAACAAACAAGGGAACAAAAGAAATGGAGGCCCTCAACCTCTCCACACTTGAGACTTCTCAAGTCACAGATGAGGAAGCCAGGTCCTGGAAGGGCCTAGGGTCCCACTGAGACTCTGGAGCCCCCTGCCATGGTCTCCAACCTCCCTTTCCTTCCCCTCTACCTGCCCCTGTTGCCCATACTCCAGAGTCCTCAGGCCCTCACCCACAGAGACCAAGGTCTCGTAGTTCTCCCTCATCACGTCTCGGTAGAACTCCCGCTGCCCCTCTTGCAGGAGCCGCCACTCCTCTTCCGAGAACCGCACAGCCAGGTCCTTGAAGCTGATGGGCACCTGTGGGCACAGTCTCCGGAAAGGTTGGCTGCGTCCACGCCAGCAAGGCCCACCCAGCAGGCCCTCAGCTCAGTGAGCCACATGTGTCTCTTGGTGGGCACTGCGGGCAGGCGCAGTGGAGACATGAGTGGGACCTGACTCTGGACACAGTGGTATTGGCTAAAGAGACAGCCCCAGGGTTAGCTGGATGCCCAGGAAGATGTGCTGAAGCCCTCACTGCCCGCCTGGTAAATATGACCTTTTTGGAAACAATGTCACTGTAGATGTAACTAGGAAAAATGAGGCTCCATTCCTAAGTGCCCAGCCAGCCCTAAACTTGGCCAGTTTAGATTCACTTGAGTTAAGAAGCAAACTTCCTGTGAATATATGAAGACCTGGGACACTAGCATTATAGGAGAGAGCGAGAGAGCAAGAGAGCGAGAGAGCGAGAGAGCGAGAGAGCGAGAGAGAGAGAGAGAGAGAGAGAGAGAGAGAGCGCTCAAGGGAGGGAGGGAGGGAGAACCAGCTAGTTACTAAGGTCTATTATCCCAAATCCTTGGGACCGGATGTGTTTTGTATATTTGATTTTGAAATATTTGCATACACATAGTGAGTTCTATTTTATAAATGGGACCCAAGTCTAAACCAAAATTCACTTATATTTTGCCCTTTATATGGATAATCTGATGGTAGCTTCATACAGTATTTTTAATGCGCCTGCACTTTGCAATCATTCACAGGAGCTCAGATGTGGACTCTTCCACGTGTGGCATCATGGTGCTCAAAAGTTTTAGATTTTGGAGCATTTTTCATTTCAGATTTTTGGATTAGGGATGTTCAACCTGTGTAACAAAGAAAAATACCACTTAATACTTTTCAGCAGGGAAATATAATGGTCAGGAATTAAGCATACACAATTTTTATGTTGTAGGCTCCCAACAGCAAAGGGTGTGGGGGGAATGAACAACTCACACAGCCTTGCAAGCCTAGAGTCTGAGCCTTTTTCACTCACTGGCCAGGCAGCAGGTGAGCCAGGCGCTTAGAGGCTTGACCTGTGCCCTGTGCCTAGGGCCCTTGATCTTCAAACTCCAATGTGAGCCCAGCACTACCAGACTTCTGGAAGTTCCCAGCTACTGGGCAGAACCTACCTTCACTTTCCCAGTCATGCCCACCCTTCAAAAGACTGCAACTCTCCACAAAGCAAGGGCCAGGTGTCATCACTTCAATTGTGGTGAGCTGTGGACCCACCACGAGGCTCAAGCAGCTGGTGATGTCCACAAAGCCCTGCTCGCTGCAGTCTAGCCGTCCCATCTCACCATGCTCCCTACTCCACTCCTCCCAGATCCTTTAGCACTGAGAGACTGGGGGTATGGTTCTGAGAGATCTCAGAAGACACTCAGAAAACCAGGGAGTTTGGGAACCCAAGTTCTTCACCTCCGCAACGCCACACATTTACCTTCTATGATCACCTCTCTGTGGTAAGAGAAAAGCAACATCTCCTAGTTTCTTTAAAAGTCGTCATTCAGTGCACTTTAAGAGAGTCATGAGAAGCCAGACGTGACCAGCATGTGATAAGCTTGAATTTAAGTTATGGCAAAAACTAACTTTGCACAAATTTCACCAACAGAATGAAATGATGGGAAGGATCCTTCTGGTTTAGAAACAAACACTGTGCAAGAAGCTGTGAAGGGAATGACGACTCCCAGTGAAGCAGAGTCGACTATGTGCTTCGCCCACTCAATTCAGTGATTTTAAAAGCTGTCACGGCTACTCACTGGTGGCCTTGTCATCCATTCTCTGCCTACCACCCTGACAGCTACCACTGTGTAGTCACACACCCAGAGCTCTGACGTTTTGAAGTGGTTAGGCTCCAGTCACACATCTGGCTAAAGCATCTCTAGTACTGTCTGCTGCCATCCAGCTGTCTAGGGGCCCACAAGAGAGCAGAGGCAGCGCCCTTTGCCTCGTGGCTCACTGAGCAGCTCCAAACATATCTAGGGTCTGCTAGGCAGTCTAGAAGCCTCTTTCCCCAAGCTCAACTTGTAGAGCCAATCCCCTATGGCCATTCTCCATCAGGAACATCTCAGATCCTCCCCCTGTAAACATCCCAGGGATCCATTTGCATTTCTTGTTGGCTTTTGGACAGACAAAAGGTAGCCAACTGTGATGAGAGAGATGGCTCTGTGGTTGAGAGCACTTGTTGCTCTTGTAGAGGACCTGGGTTTGACTCCTAGTACACACCATCAAGTGGCTCACGACTACCTGTAACTCTAGTTCCAAGGGATCTGATGCCCTCTTCTGGTCTCCACAGGGACCTGCATGCATATACATACACACACACACACACACACACACACACACAAAATAAATCTTAAAAAAAAAAAAGTCAATTGTGTCAGGCACAGTGGTGCACACCTTTAATCCCAGCATTTGAGAGGCAGAGCAGGTGGATCTCAGTGAGATAGAGACCAGGCTGGTCTACATAGTGAGTTCCAGGCCAGCTGTGTCTACAGGGAGACCCTATCTCAAAAAAAAAAAAAAAAAAAAGTCAACTGGTCATAAAAATTAATGTGGTCAATCTTAAGTTCTGAACCAAGAATAGGGCAGGCCTGACACTGCTGCCCTTCAAAATACCTGGTGGCCAGGTGGTCCCAGGCTCCTCATAGGAGCCCCTGAGCTTTAGGTGCCCTTGGGGACCCCACACCCCAACACAGAAGCCCATTATACTCAGCCACCTTATGCCCCAATGCATGTGACCAAGTCACTTCCCAGTCTCTCCATGGGCACCCCCCCTACCCCAAGTCTGCCCTGTGGTCCTCCCTGCTGCCACACCCCCTTTCCTTTCTCCCTTCTGGTATCTTACCAACCAAGGCCTGGGAACCATGTAGGCTGACCAAGTGGGAAGAAACCATGTGTAGGCTGTAGATCTCCAAGATCTTCAGGCTTGTGATAACAGGCTCAGAATCCATATGGGCATATGTTTTACTTACACATTTTAATTACTATGTTTAAACATGTACAGATGCTCTTGTGATGAGCAACATATATGTCCTTTAAAAGTAATATGAATTTACAATACGTGAACAAACTACTACCTAATGTACTAAGTAGACAACTATGTGTGGAACTGGAGAACACTAAAGGGGGGATCACAGAACTAACAGAATAGAAGCCCCTATTGATAATCCATCCCTCTCACTGTGATAGTTAAGGAACATGGGAATGCAGTCACCAGAGTGACCAGAGCCATGGCACAGAAAGGCACACCCAGCAGGGCCTGGAACCTGAAGAGCTTTATCTATGCTATTACCCTGTTTAAAGAGAACGTGCTTCCACAGACTGCATCAATCTACTGAGCCCAATAAAGAACACCAGGAACGTGAGGACTGGTTTGCATGTCCCTGGCTGTGACCACATGAGTGGTCCTGCACTGCAGAGCTCTTTCTAACTCAGTGATGGCTCAGGCTACCACAGCTCTATGCTGCCAGCTGTCAAGCAAACCTCTATGTTTATGAGATAGCTCTGCATTAACATCTGGCTTCCCACACAGGGTTCACTTTAGGATCAAATGTGCCCTAGAGTTCATGTGCTGGAAACTTAATCCCCAATACAACAGTGCTGAGAAGTAATGAGGTCAAGAATGGATTAAGGCCATTATCAAGGGAGTGGATGAGTATCTGGGGAGTAGTTTTCGATTAAAGGATGGGCTCGGCTTTCTTCCTCTCTCTCTCTCTAGTGCTCGTTTGCCCTTCTGCCTTCCATTATGGGAGGACAGCATTATGGTTCGAATCTGAAATGTCTCTCATAGGCTCATGTTTTAAAAGCTTGCACTCCAGCTGGTGGAGCTATTTTGGGGGATATAGAAGCTTTAGAAGGTGGACTCACCTGGAGGAAAGTCCTTGGGGTGTATTATCCCTGGCCCTTCCTGTCACACTGCCTCTCAAGAGATGAAAACAGATACTTTGCTGCTATGATTCTCTGTCCAAGCACAGGGGCCAAATGACCATGAGCCCAAACAAATCTATCCTCCCTTAGGTCGTTTCTGCCAAGCACTGGTCACAGTGGCAGAAAAGTAGCCAATCCACCCAGCAAGGCAACCTTGCCAGAAGCTGATCCCTTGATCTTGGATTTCTCAGCATCTAGAACTGTGAAAGAGAAATCTCTGATCTTTTTATTCTAATTTTTTATTTTATGTACTTGAGTGTTATACCTGCATGTGTGTAAGTGCACCCGTGTCATGCAATGTCCACAGAGGACAGAAGCGGTCAGATCCCCTGGAACTCCATGGAATTAAAGATGGTTTTTAGTCATGTGGGTGCCGGAATTTGAACCCGCGTCCTCTGCAAAAACAGCCAATGCTTTTAACTGCTGAGCCAACTCTCCAGCCCCCTTCTCTCTTCTTTATAAATTATCCATCTCAGGTATTTTAGTATAGTAGCATACAAACAATATGAGTGGCCATCAATTTCAAAAGCTATATCACCATGTATTTTCAGTTTGTCAGCTCTATTTTTCTTTGTAAAGAAAGCAACTGGCTTTCTCTATGTCTTAGTCATTTCTATTGCTGTAGGAGAATACCCAAGACAAGATGATTTATAAAGGAAATAAATTGACTTCTTACAGCTGCAGATGCTGGGAAGTCCAAGGTCAAGGGGCCATGTTTGCTGAGGACCTTCTTGTTATATCTCGTACTACATCACAGTTTCATGGAGGGCATCATAAGCAAAACAAAGTAAGCAAGCTAGAAAGACTCTGTAAATGAGGTTACTCCTTCAACAAGTCAATCTACTAATCCATTCATGAGGATAGAGTCCTCATGTTCCAATAACCTTCCCTGGGTCGCATTAACACATGACTGGGAATTAAGTTTCTAACAGTTGACATTTGGGGGAATGTCAATTCACAGCACTTTATTCATTTGTTGTGAGTCTGCTTAGTATAAGTTGGTCCTCCTGAGAACTGTAACATAAAGGGTGCACTGAACAATACCACATTAGTTACGAGGCTTCAGCCAAATGGCTGATCCATCTGAGCCTTAGCAAAGTCATCTATCATACTGGATCACAACATACTTCATAGGAATGCTGAAAAGACAAAATGAATTAATACAGGAAATTCTGAGAATAAATGCTGGGACATATTTAGTGTTATGACTGGTCTGTCTGCCTAATACCCACCTACAGAGCACTGCTGTCACCCCAGGCCCTTCCACACACTACTCCTGACTTCTGGAGGCCTCTTTATCTCGAGGCTAAATATATCTAGCTCTTTCAGGCCATTGTGTGTAATGCTTTCCAGGCCCCTCACCATCTTAGCCTCTGAAGGAACTCCAGCAACAAGGTTTTATAAAACATGGATGGGAACTTGCTGTGGCAGGGTCGGTGCTCCTGTCAGAGGCTTCCCATGGAGGGAACAGGACTGAGGATTTCGCTCAGGTGGTAAAACACTTGCCTGGCATGCATGAAGGCCCGAGTTTGATCCTCAGCACCATATAACCCAGGTATGGTTGTACATGCCTGTAGTCCCGGGTGGAAGCAGGAGCATCAGAAGCTCAAGGTCATCCTTGGCTACATAGTGAATTCAAAACCAGTTTGTGCTACATGAGGAAGAAAGTGGAGGAAGAGTGGGGCGGGAGGGAAGGAGAGAGAGTAAACAAGTGAGAACACAAATGCTCCTCTTCAGGAGGAGGAAAGCCACCACTGGTTTGTCAGCTAGACCTCTGACCCCAACCAACAGAAGAAAAGCTTCTGGGGCTGAGCAGGACGGCTGTAGCTGGGGAACCTCCTTGCTCACGGCTGTCCTGCTGGGCCTCCTACAACCCTGCTTCTACTGTGTCACAGTCCCAGAATGAAACTGCAGTTCCAGTCCTCATAAGACTGGTCTGTCTCTCATGGTCTTTGTCAGCCTCGCTCTATTTCCCTGGCATGCCTCAGGCTACAGGATCAGACCCTGTACCATGCTCACTGTCCCCATCGTACAGATTGCACTCACAGAGCCCTGAGCTTCTGGTAGTCACACTGGACACAAAGACTGCAGGCCTTTTCTACCCGTCTCCATCAGACTGTGCTCTTGCACTCCAGGAGACCATTCCTGACCATCTTCTCCACGCAAATACACAGTGTGAACATCAGGTCTGAACGATCCATGGTCCAGCTCCCTCATATACAGAACAAGAAACCCATAAAAGGCCTTAGGATGGGGCCCTAAGTATATCTGAGTCAAAAGTGTCCCTGCTTGTCAGCCAGATCTGCATAGGACACTGCCAGGGCCAGACCACATCGCATTTACCTGGCTTATCCTTGTCCCCAAGATGTTTGTGGGTTCCTAGTGATGCCTAGCCGCATGCTGTCACAGCCACTACCCCAACACAGCTGCCTGAGTCTGGCCAACGCTCGTGGGCACAATTTAATTGCACAGCTGACCCCGAGTGTCCACCCAGAAGGCGGCGCAGCAATTCCCCCCTGGCATCTTCGCAGCCCACAACCTAGCCCACTGTGCCCAGGCCACAACAGCAGATGGGTTCCCTTTCCAGCTCAGGGATGGTCACCTCTTACCAGCATAAAAACTTGGATCCTGTTTTCTTTCTCCCCACTTCCCAGGATTCCGGATACTACCAAAAATAAGTGTCAGACTTAGTTATTCCCCGAATCCCCTGAGGCCTATGTACTCAACCTCTGGGGATAACTTGTACTTGAAAAGGCTAAGGGGATGAGTTCCCCCAGGTGGAGAAAAGCTCCAGGACCAAGTGTCCGGGGAGAAGGGGAGGGACCTCGACTTCAGGGCATGGAATCCTGGGCATCGGGCTGGCCTGGCTGGGCTCAGTCCGGTCCAAAGTTGGCGGTGCCAGCTCTTCCCGGCCCTGCTGCCCCGCAGACCGAGCAGCCCCGCCGAGGCGCCCGTCGGTCGGTAACCGTTCGCCTTACCTGGCGCGCCATGGCGGAACTCAGCCTCGCCACTCCTCGGCCCACCCAGCTTCCGGCGCGGCTCCAGCAGGAGGCTATACCGAGACCGTCGAGACCCTCGGCGACTGCGGCCGGCGGCGTGCGGCAGGAGGCGGGGCCGGGGATCCGGGACGCGCGCGGAGCGCCGGGAGAGGCGCGCGCGAGCCCGCCCCGCACCTCTCATCCCGGGAGGGGCGGTCCCGCTTCCGCCCGCAGCCCCCGGCCTCAAGGCCTGGACGGCGCAGGCGCGGACTACATTTCCCAGAGGGCTTCGCAACGTCATGGTGGAGCTGAGGGAGGGGCTCCTTACTGCACCACCCCTCGCACTTTGACCTCATTCAGCTGCGGGTCCAGGCTTGGCGTCAGGTAGATGGTCAGG